AAATATGATTCGAGATCATCAATTATTACATTATGAATTATAATACTACGATGTAACATTTAAGATGAGACTGTATCAGAAACTACAGCCCAAGTTGGATAACAAAATCCTTTGGAAGGCAATCCAAAGTGAGATGAAATGGTACCGTGAGGCCTACCTCATATATTTTATAGGAAGACCTCACTATCAATCTATCCATCATTTCGAGTGAACAGAGCTAACCAAGCTTATCTTACAAATGCGTGCTTCCAGAGTGGAATAACATAACACAAAATATTGGGATAATGAGATTGATAATCGAAACGACAGTCGAGCCTGGAAAAAATATTGTATGGATAGAAGGACTAAGTGAAATTCAACGGCAGTGTGAGGTATGCTCCACACCGTTGTGGGCAAACAATCTTATCAAGTCATAAATCACCTCATACGACCAACGGTAACCAATCGTATCTTCCAGATATGTCAATAGTCACGGAAAAATGTCATCTCAAGACGATGAAGTAGAGTCTAAAGTGAATTACCGAGTTGGCCATTCACTGGCGGGCGTCAAATGTACAAGTGAGGCCTAGACCCATTTCATACAACAGCTCGACTCACCAAAAGTGTGGCACATGCAGGTTACCCCGGCCGTTTTGCAGTCTGCTCGTGAGCCCGGCCAGTCCCGGCAAGCCGCCGGCAAAAGTGGGCGCCAGACAGTCGCTGACGCCCGACATGTCGTCCGTCTGAAAGGGTGGCGCCCCGGTCGCATAGGCAGCGTGCAGTTGCCCCTGGCCAGCTTGGCCGGTATGGCTGGAGACCGAGGCCGACTTCATGGAGCAGGCGGAGCCGGCGAACAAACTGGCCGGCCAGTCGGAGAGACCCGTGGCCGGAGCAACCGTCGCCTGGACGCCTGACATGAAGAGACCGTCGTCGCAGCGTCCGCATCCTTCGCCCGTCGGCGGACGCATCAGCCAACTGCCCTCCTCCTCCTCCTCCTCTTCCCTCCGTCCCTGCTCCCCCTTCTCCCTCTCTACCTCCTTCAGCCCCTCCTTTCCACCCTGCGCCCTCGACGCCACCGCCTGCCGCCTGCCCAGACCCATAAACAGCCAATTGGCCGAGGGCAGTGCATCTCCGTGGCCCGACAGTGCGGTCGTCGTCGTGGCGACAATCGCGTCGGTGGCGACATGGCAACCGGCGGGACCCGGCCAGGGTGGTAGGGTGGTGTAGTTGGAGGACCAAGTGACCACTCCGGCTCCGGCTGCTTCTGCTTTACCGTCGCCGTCGCCACTCGCAGTTGGCGGGAAGAGGCGAGCACGACAGACCGCCGCCTCGAGACTGACGCCGTCCGAACGGGCTGACAACCGGCCGGGAAGCAACAGCTGCTGCATCCCCGCGTTGCCAGGGCCTCCGGTCGACCCGTTAGCCTTGCCCAGACCGGTGTCCGCGGCCGAACCAAAGACGACTGAATTCGTGTAATCTCTGGCGACCGCGGCTCCGGCCGTCCTGTCGGCAGCGTTTTTGTAGCGCCGACGCCCACTTTTGCCCGCCTCTTCGCGACCTTGGCCCTGTCGATGACGCCTCTTGACGACAACCGAGAAGATGCACACCAAACCAATCAGCCCGAGGAGTCCGAGGAGAGAGACGAGGACGCCGATCACAGTGAACCGAGACAAGCCGAATCGGCCGCCAGCATCCACGTCGGACACGACAGAGCCGGCCGAAATGGCGCGATGAGGGTCCTCGTGTTGAAGACTTGATTGGGGCAGATTTGATGGAAGCCGATTTGGCTGGCCGGCGTAGAGCGAAGGGTAGTCCCAACGGTCTGAGAGCACGAGTGGGAGGCAAGAACACGAGACAAAGCCAGGGAAAAGACGCATGAAGTGAACATTGTTGTTGCCAGAATTTCCGTTGATAAATGAATGCCTCAGAGTTTTGGCAACAGCAAGTGGACAGGATCAGATGATAGACAATAACACAAGCTCGAACATGATTCAACATCACAAGTCATGTGTTCTGCGAGCTCAGATTATTGGACACAAAGACCTTTACAAGCGGTTTTGTGTTCGCATAGTTTCGTATGAATAGTTCGGCAGGTCTACCCCACATAGACCTCACCAGCTGAGCACAAAATCTGGTAACAGCCTGATCTAGTAAGAGGTTCTAAACGAAGAAATTACTGAAGAATGTGTTAATTTCTCTTTGTACATTGTTTTTATCTTCCACTTCTTCGGTAGTTGGCCCAACTTTTGTCGCAAAATGACAGAAAGGCAAAATCAGAAACTGAGTAGAATTGTCCTATTGTCTATCCCGCGCCTGATAGCAAACTCCTTTCATCGTAATAACCACAATTGATATGTAGTTGTCTATTCATCCTAACGGGTAATTTTTTTGAAACAGTATATCCCTCAATCTACCGATCTTCTGGTCCCTATGGCTTGCACCTGCTAGGCGCAGACTCCTAATTATCATAGACTTCATAATTCCTATTTTTACTTTGTATGTATGGTTCGAGAAGAAATTTATAAGGAAACCCGCTTGAATGGGTTTCCTATTTACGTAGCTACCCAACTTATTACCTTCCTTGCTCACTAATACATCCAAAAAAGGCAATTTATTTTCATTTCATAGCTCCATGATAAACTTACAATTTGCATCTATTCTATTTATTAGCTCAAGAAATTGCCCCAAACTATCTTTGCCGTTTTTCGTTTGTAAGTATAACGAAAACACCATGCCGTGTTGCTAAACAGCAAAGTAATCGTCCATACAGCAAACCAATAACTTTGGAGCAAGGAGTGTCTCATGAAACACGCGAACTTCTAATTGGGTCATGTAGTTATTAGCTAAAATAGAGGCAAAACAAGATCCCATGGCTAAACCCCTTTTTCCGCTCATACAACTTACCAGTGAAGGCAAAATATGTATCATACATTGCCAAATTGTCTAATTTAAGCATTTAATATTCGCTTAACTTTTTATCTGTTATGCTTTCAGGGTGTTGATAGAGTGTTGATTCTAGCGCCTTCATTGCCTCGTTTATCCGAATATTAGTGTGCATAGAGACCACATCGAAACTGACCAGCAAATCTCCTCCTATCGTCTGATCATCAATTAACTTAATAAAGTGGTAGGAGTTCTTTACTGAAAATGTACAAGTTTCGGAGATTTGCTTTGACTGAGTATGTATAAAGCGTGACGTTTTATGCATCACGCTACCTCCATTGTCTACAATAATCCCAAGTGGATTACCTTGCTTATGCATTTTGAGCAGGCCATACGCATTTGGGGTTGTATCATCTCGCCGGAGGAGTGCATTCATTCTCAACTTTTTCAGTTCCCCACTGCTTACACATTGTTTCAGAAGACCCTTGCGTCTGATCCTAAGGCCCTTATTACGATCGTATATGTTGCCTCATCAGCTAATGCCCCTAACATTTGCTCTACAAACTCAGTCCTAGCAATAGCTACTACTGCTCCTCCTTTGTCTGCTCTTGATAGCAGTTGCTCGTCCTCCTTACGTTTTTTTATAATAGCCTCAACTGTCCTATTCTTATATGGTCTTTCTACAGGACCATCAATTAAAGGGACAACTTGTAGTTCAATGTCACTCCTAGTATCCTATGGAAAACT